AGACAAGCCGAGAAGTCTTCAGTGGCCTCTTGCGCGCGAATCAAATCAGCAGCAGGAATAATTCGCTCATTGTCACGATAAACGTTTTCAAACGTCACTGCGCTGTGCAGCAGTGCCAGCCTGAGCTCGCCGTGATCTCCTACCGAAACCCCGGGGCGGAGGCATACGTCATAGAGCCACCGAACCAGCTGCAACGTCTGAGCACCTTTTGCCATCTGCTGTGTAAGCTTCACCCAGTCACCACGAGGGAAAAACTTTTTTTCTTCGAATCTCGGACATGCTTGAATGCCTTTGGCTCTGCACCACGCCTTATGGTCAGCATGAGCCATATAGAACCTCTCCGATCGATTGTTTCCGGCCCAGGTTCCCTCCAGAACGAGTTCCCTCAAACACGATGCGACTACAATTTGGTAAACGCCGAGATCCAAAGCGCGCAGAGGGTCAACCCAAACCCTCCACACATGGAAACCAGGAATTCGGAGCAAAGGGGAAGGGCTGCCATAGGCCCGTTGCTCTCTCATGAAATTCCGATTCGTCATGAGGGTGTTGCGCAGACGGGAGCGAGATGAAAATTGAGTGAACAGCAGACGGCCTGTCCGCTTATGAGCTTTGCATAGGTGGCAGCATTCATTGGTATTGTAATGCCTGGCCAACTTCAAACTTTCTTGCAAGTATTTCCAATCTCCTCGCATCTCCGACCACACTCCCCGGTATCCCCCTGCCAAGGGCATGCCAGCTAGAGCTGCCCGCCCTGGCTCGTATTCTGCATTGAACTGTCTGCCTCGATGGTCCACGGGGGGGTATTCACCGATCGCGAGCCATTCTAGGCTCCACACGAGAACCTCATAAATTTGGTCCAATGTCTTATCTGGAACGATCTTCGAATACTGCACCTCCGTGAAAACGATTCTAGAAAGGATAGTCTCATGGTTTTCAATCGTCCCGCCCCACAGAAGCATGAGAATCTTTTCGTGGTTGAAAACTCCTGCGTCGTCTCCGTAGATACCAATGGGCACACAGCTGGTCGGAGACGTTCGAATATCTAAAACAGGGTGCTCTTGATACCACGGAGTGGTCCTCGAGGATGGGTTCCCAACTATGTTCTCCCACTCCCCCTCTTTCCTGAGCTCCTGTCATGCCTCCTTCCTCACTCCCTCCTTTCTCCACTCCCCCTTGATCCGCGAGACGCGAATGTTTAGAAGAACCCGTCCTCGAGTGCCGCCAGAAAGCTTCTAATCGGCCAGGCCCCCCAACGAACATGCGGTTGAAAAGATCCACCTGCTTGTGCAAACTCGCGAACGTCTCATGAGGTAAAAAGGCATGGTGCGTACGAACTGTTTCATGAACGCCATCACTGGAAGCAGCGACTTGAAACTCAAAAACCTGCGGGAGCAACTCGCGCCAGGGTTGTCTTGATACCCATCTGTGCAGCGCTCGCTCAGCGTGCCGATCTGGCGGGATCGTCGCGAGCTGCTGCACGTGCAAAAGAACTCCAGTGCAACGATCTGCAATTGCTGAGCACAGTCGGGCAAAACGTTGAACTGATGAAACTCCTTCCCCGATGAGACTGAGAAGCTCCATCTCGAGCTCGTCGGGCGAGCCCTCAAAGGCCATGGCTTCAATTACATGGGAACTGGCCGAAAGAAAGTGGCTGGGATAATCACACGCAAATATCACCGAGCCTAGACGAGCTGATTCAAATCATAATTCATGTGTTGTAAATAGGCATGTACATTTTTTATGCATATATATATATGCATATATAGATATAGGAATATGTACACATACATTTATTTATATTTTTATATATATATGTATATGTATACGTATATGCATAATCCTCCTCACCCTACTCCATGTTTCTCTCGCCCTGACTCTCAACTCACCCCTCTTGCATTAGCATGTGGTGCCTTGTCCCGGGTGAGTGGGGGGCCTCGTCCAAATTATTTAATCGTTTCGCTCATTTCGCCGGCCCGTAATTGCCTCGCCGCTTGGGGGCCGCGTTGAGGCCTCTTGGGGGCCTTTGGGAGGCAGTTTTTGTTTTTTAACGACGACCGCCCTTGAAGCAACATTTTTACATGCTGAGTTGGGCCTTTGGGAGGCAGTTTTGAGGCCTCTTTGGGGTCAAGTTTGAGCCTATTGGGGGCCTCTCGGGGTGCCTCTTGGGGGCTTCTTGGGCCTCTTGGAGGAGTGCCTCTTGCGAGCCCATTGGGGGCCTCTTGCGGGTTGCCTCTCGGGGTGCCTCTTGCGAGCCCATTGGGGGCCTCTTTCGAGCCCATTGGGGGCCTCTTGGTTTCTCGGGGGGCCTCTCGGGGTGCCTCTTGCGAGCCCATTGGGGCCTCTTGGGGGCTTCTTGGGGCCTCCTGAAATTTGGGGCCACTTGGGGGCCTCTTGGGGCCTCTTGGAGGATCTCGAGACTGCTGAGGAAGAGGGGAGGGTACACCGCGCAGCAAAAAGGCTGGCCAGCCCCACAGGCCAGTCCTCGGAGTACATCATTGAAAGTGCAAGCGGCTAGCTGGGTGATCCAGTCTGGAGCGCATGCACACCCAAGGCAGCGCAGGACTTTCACGCCCATAGTTCACCAGCTAGCTGCAAGAAGTCCACACAAGATATCTTGTGGTGCCCCAAACAGGCCGCCGACGAGAGCATTGAGGGAGAGAAAGAGAAGAAGAGGCGAGGGAAGGAAGGAGAGAGGGAGCAGAGGGGGGAGGGTAGAAGAGAAAGGCAGATGAGAGGAGTGCAGAAGAGGCCCCAGAGGGAGGAGGAGGAGGAGGAAGAGGAGGAGGAGGAGGAGGAGGAGGAGCTGGAGGAGCTGGAGGACGACGAGGAAGAGGTGGTAGCTGTATGCTATCGTCCAAGCCTGACATATGCATGAAAATGCGGATGCATGCAGTCGCGACACAGTCGCGACATTGCCACCTCGAGCTCGAGCTCATGACTCCTCCTTGCCATCCGTGGCATGGAGGTCGGCAGCGGCGTCGACGCCATCCGCCGTGTCGAGCTGCGCCTCCGCAGCCCTCATCTTGGCCTCGAGCTGCCCGTCAAAGACAGACGTCGGCTTCTTGATGTTCTCGCCGAGGATCCTCCGGGCCTCTAGCAAGTCCTCGCTGAGTGAATCAGAATCACCTTTGATGGAGTGGAACTTCTCGACCACGTCCGACAAGGTTGGTCGGTCGCCTTGCAGCAGCTCGTGGAAGGTAGCAAGAGCAGACGTCACCTTGGGCTCGCTGATCTTGATCGCATCAATCACCGACTGCTTGAACTTATTCTGGCAGGTATCCAGCGCCTTCAGCACCCGGTTGATGGACGAAATGTCCGCCGACAACTTGTTGATCACCACCGTAGTCAGAGAACGTGGGGAAAGGTTGGCAGGCTTCTTGGCAGCCTTAGGAGCCGACTTGGCCTTGGCCTTGGCTTTGGCCCGCGTCGGGCCCGAGTCATTCTCGGTGTGGGGCTTCTCATCCTTCTCGATGCCTCGACCTAAGCTCCTCACCATATCTGCTGCCATCCCAGCATTCATCTCATCAACGTGGCCCGTCAGAGTCGCGCTGGTCTGGCGAGCAACCTCGATGTTGGCGAGTGGAACGTAGTAGATGTTGAACCTCTTGTCCCGCTTGTGCTTGGCGTCATCGCTGCACCTCTGTTTGGCGTGCTTCAGCATGTCGTTGCAAAACTGCATCGTCTCCTCACTCGCGTGGGCATGGTACATCGCATACACTTGAAACTTAGTTGCCCATATCATGGTCTTCTCCCTGTAGACCGACTTCGTCCTGGTGTGCCTCTCCTGGATGACCATGACCGCGCAGCTCGTATCCTGCACATACGCCTGTAGAAAGGCGAATTTGCTGGCGTTCTTCTTGGAGTCAGCCTCCCACTTGGCCACGATCTCTGACGGGATATTCGGGCGACTGAGCGCCCGTGAGATTGCAGAGTACAATTTCTTCCGCAAGGCCACGTCCACGTCACCAGGCACGACCGCTGCCAAGATCTGCTCCTTGACCTGAGAGGCACAGTGGAGGTGGAGGAGAAGGAAGAAGTGGAGGTGGAGGATGTGTGGTTGGTGTGGTTAGTGCCCACGCCCGACGTCGTCGGGCACGATGTACGTCTTTCCCTTGATGCCAGCATCACGCACGTCCGCCTCGACCGCCACCGCGTCAGCGCCCCGCGCAGCACGAGGCCCGTCATCTGCGACTCCAGCTGCATGAGCTTCGTCGGCACGGGCATCATCGCATGGCTGGTCCGTGAGCTGATCCTCGGGCGCCGGCGCCTGGAGATCGTGGGCGGCGGCGGCGGTTGATGGCGCGGGCTTGGACGGCTCTGGGAGCGCACATCCTGGTCCGACCTTCCAGCCAGACTTGATGGCCTCGAACGTATCCTCTGGCACAGTCTGAGTGGCTATGTCATCTGAGGACTCCAACATCATTGGGGAGATACTCGGCACCATCTTGGCCCGTTGCGGCGGAGTGACGTATGCTGACCCCGCAGACGACGGGGCTGGCGAACACACTGGTACACATGCTGACCTTGCCGACGACGGGGCTGAGGAACACACTGGTACACATGCTGACCCTGCAGACGACGGGGCTGGCGAACACGATGGAGTAGCACCCTTAAGGTGACCGAATCTAAAAAACAAGAGGTGGACTGATAAGTCAATTCACTCGTAACCCAACTCATTGGGCACGGATGAGTTAACACTTAGCCGTCCACCCATTGTGGTTTAGTGCGGTGACCTTCCGCTTCTTGGGGAACCCAGCCTTCACTGCAGTGGGCGACGCTTGGACTGGAGTGAGAGGGCCAGCTGCATCCAACATGAGCTCCTCGATCTTAGGCTCGACCAGAGGGCGGACGATTGATGCTTGAATCTCCTGAAGCGAATCCTGCTGCTGCATCTCGTCGTCCATGGCAATCTCTGGCTTGCACGAAGGGCGGGGGGCACAGGCTTTCGCTCTCTTGACGGGCGGAGCGCCCATGGCGCGCATCTTCGCGTAGAGATCCATACTGGGCGAGGTGAACAGTCGATGCCAGCAACGCTGGAGGAGCCACAACGGCTGTTCCTGTCCGAAATGGCCGACGACCGCAACGTCAAAATCTGAGCGCCTGGGCCGTTCAAAATACCCGGTAAATACACGAAAAATACACGGTCGGATATTGCATTTTCCCTGTGTTTTTACAGTAGATATCGCAAACGTGTATTACACGGTCTGCAAAATACACGAAAAATACACGGTCCCAAACTTGAGCGTTTCTCTGTTTGATTGCAGGGAATTCGCTGTCAAGCTATAGAATTGGCAGTCAGGCAGCTCCACATCCAAACGAAGCAACCCACGTGGAGAGACACGCACAGACTTTAGGGCCCAGGAGGCCGTGGAGACGTACTACTACTACTACTACTACTACTACTTACTACTACTACTACTGCTACTACTACTGTATACCACTACTACTACTGCTGCTACTACTACTAATACTACTACTACTACTACTACTACTACTGCTGCTGCTGCTACTACTACAACTACTACTACCACTACTACTACTACTACCACCACCACTACTACTGCTACTACTACTACTACTACTACTACTACTACTACTACTAGTACTACTACTACTACTACTACTTCTACTACTACTACTACCACTACTACTACTACTACTACTACTACTACTACTACCACTTCTACTACTAGTATCACTACGCCTAGTACTCCTACTACTACTACTCTTTATTATTATTACTACTACTACCACTACTGCTACTATACTACTACTACTACTACTACTACTACTCCTACTACTTCTTCTACTGCTGTACTACTACTACTACTACTACTACTACTACTACTACTACTACTACTGCGACTACTACTACTACTACTACTACTACTACTACTACTACTACATCTGGGCATCGCAGGGTGCGGGCACGCACGGCCGGCCTGCGCAGTGAAGAAGTTCACCACGTAAACGGATCGGGGGGCGGGGGCCGCGACCGTGGCGGCAGCAGCAGCAGCACAGCAGCAGCTGAGCGTCCTGCGAACGAATCGAACGAGGCGTCACGGCCGCCACCCTGCGACCGAATCGAAAAGGAACGAGGCGTCACGGCCGCCACCCTGCGACCGAATCGAAAAGGAACGAGGCGTCACGGCCGCCACCCTGCGAGGGAATTGGAAAAGGTTGAGAGGAAGGAGGTGGAGGAGGACAAACACAAGGACAAGTAAGGGGATGGAGGATAAGGAGGGGAGGATAAGGAGGGAGGAGGAGCAGTGTTGCTAAGCTAGCACTCGCACCCCATCAAACAAGATTCTCTGCACGTAGCAGCGCCCAGGTCCGAGGGCCATGATCCACCACGAACCCTCACATTCGAAGCAAAAGCGAGATGTGCTGACATTGATCGCAACACCATCTCCTGAAACTAGGCTGCTTGCATCAACGGGCACCGTGTGGCTTGACAGATCCCTTAAGTGTATCTAGTTGATATGAGTTCCCTTGTGCATAGATTGTCCTTATGTGTGCTTCCCTTGTGAATACAGTTGCCCTTATGCATATTAGCACTATATATATGTATCATGTTGTGCCCTTGTGTAGTTTATACATGTATGTGCCATGTATGCATCATATGTATCAGTATGCATCGTATCAGTATGTATGCCTATCTACCAGATGCGCATCTTTATTCGTATATGTTCATATCCTCACGTACCAGTATCTTTATAGTTCCTATATGTATCCGATATGGTTCATACCTTTATGTGTCCTGTGTGTGCACGTATGTATAGTTTCCTGTCTTGATGTCATTATCAAATATGTATATCCATGTTTAGCCAGTATGTCTTAAGTTGGGTTCAAAGTTGACCCCTCAAGTATGAGCTGGCAGGGCCCCCGGCTTTACAAGGAATCGATGTTCTTCATCTCTCTCTCTCTCTCTATATATATATGCATATGTGTGTGTGTCCAATGTCCTTATATCTAGTTGGTGCACCTCCACCCCTCATGTCCATCATGGGGCCATCATATGTACCACCAGTGTCGATGTCAGGATGTGTGGCTGACGTGAGCCAACACGCGGCAATTGAAAATCCAGCAGGCAAAGACTCGCACTGCCACGAGGCCACGTGCAACGCGCACGCTGCGACAGCGTGCGCACCCAGAAGCGAAAGGTCACTTTGAAACGATCCACGCCTCAAAGTCTGCAAAACACTCCCCATCATCTATCTCAATGTCAAGCTTAAGCTCTAAGAGAAACTCCAAAGTCCAGGCGGGCTCCTGATGCTTGTAGATCCCCTCGTAAGTAGTATGGAAGATTAGCCCGATAGCAGCTCCAAACCCCAAGGGGTACTCGGCAGAGTCCTTCAGGCCAGGCCCACCCGACGTGCGTTTCTTCCCGTCGGTCCCCACGACAGATGTTGTGGTAGGGGGGGGGTTCTCCAACGCCATCACCTCCCGGTCAAACTTGTCCACTTTCTTCTCGAGCCGTTCGAGGCCTGGAGGTTAGGATAGCGCCCATCTACTTTTGGAGGGAGGTGGCGTGCACCCGATGATGGGCACGAGGGAGACGTGGGGAAGGGGACATACAGGAATTGGGCGAGGTGGAGGAGAAGGGAAATCAGTAGAATAACTGGGAAACCCGTTCCATGTTTCCACTACCCGGGACCAGGCAAGTCGCCCTTGAAGACGAGCCCCTTCCTCGTCGGTGCACCGTACGCCCCCATGTCAGCTTTTGTAGACTTGGCAGATATGTACTTGAGCATTCTCTGCACAGGCACCATGTTCCAAAGGATTGAGCTTGCGGGCTGCTCGATCACCACATGGATGCCGAGGGCGGAGGCGAGCACAGCCAAATAAGTCATGCGCCTAACGAGGGCGTTAGCTTGCTCCGTGCACGCTGACCCCATCCCTTCTGGGCGCTCAACGCTTCTCTGTGTTGACCCCCTGGACACCCACACCCGCGTCCCGCATGGGGGTGCCATGAAAAGCAAGCTCCCCGCCTTCATGACGAGCAGGGCGCGCAAACATAAAAGGAATCCGTGTGGCGTGCTAAAGTCGCGCCGAAGATCTTCTTCAATATCAACTGAAATGCCATGATATCCGAAGTGGGCAATACCCCGGGACACAGCTTTTTTACCACTGAATATTTCCATGAAGTCGTGGGTCCTAGGAGGTAAATCAAACGATCCCCCTGGTCCGAGGTGCGCTGCCGCCATGAGAAGAGGGAGCAAAACTTGGTGGGCAAGCATTCTGGGGATCGCACGACCCCGCAACAACAGTGAATCTTGGCCCGAAACGGCACTGGTGCAAGCACGTACGTTTCTACATGTTCTCCTGCATTGTCCACGGGGGGAGATCGAGGAGGAGGAGGAGGAGGAGGAGGAGGAGGAGGAGGAAGAGTTGAGTCTCCACAGCTTGCACCCCGCCGAACGATCGCTGCGCGCAGCAGCACTGAGATCTGAGGTACCACGGACCCTCGAAAGCAAACGCCGTGCTTACAACACGGCCCACTTGAAACTGGGTTGCATACGTCGCGCTGTATGCTTCAGCAGTTGGGGAGGAGGGCAAGGGAGGAGGAGGAGGCGAATACAGAGGTATGAGGGGGATAAGAGGATGAGGAGTTCTGCACAGTCAAAGCTGGCAGTCAATCAAAACGCAGCGGCCTCGTCCGCCGGCCACTTGGCAAACTCTTTCGCCTTCGCGAAGGCCTGCACAGGGCCGCCGTGATGGCTCCAGGTGATGTGGCGGGTGGCTATGTCCTCGCCCCCAACAATATAATAATGAGGCGTTTTGGCGAGCGAAATATTGCACTGAATACGGGCTGCCTTCTCATCGTCGATTCTCAACGTCCACGATTGGCTCTTGGGATCCGTCCGGCACTTCAGCACTTCCTCGGGGAGCAAGGGGAGGAGCTCGAGGTTCGGGCCCTTCTTGGCCTGCTTGGCTGGCTTCTCGGGCGTGTCCCCCTCGGACATCTGCGTCGTGTCCGCTGGCTTCTCGGGCGCAGGCGTCTTCTCGGACATCTTGGCCTTCTTGGCTGGCTTCTCGGGCGCAGGAGCCTTCTCGGACATCTTGGCTTTCTTCTTGGCTGGCTTCTCGGGCGCAGGCTCCTCGGACATCTTGCTCACGGCTGGCTTCGACTGCGCCTTCGCCTTCCTCAACTCCGCAGCGCTCAACCAGCCATCGGGGAGCTCATGCGTCTCTGGCCCCTCACAAGGGCGAACTGCAGCAACGGACTTGGCATTCTTGATTGCCTTGGAGATGGCGGAGGAGGCTTCCTGAGGGATCTCCACGGCGTCGGCCTGCGTCTCCACAACCTCTCGGAGAGGAAAAGAGAGATGAGCAACGCAGTGAGCTAAGATGCCGAGAAGGAGCGAGGAAGGAAGAGGTTGATGAGGGGGGCACCGGCTTCCAGCCGAGGAAAGAGTTCCCTGGGCCGAAGCACATCACCATCTGCGAGGAGAATACAGATAAGGAGGAAGACGAGGCGGAGGGGGAGCAGAGGAGGTGGAGGAAGGGGGGGAGGGGGGAGGTGGGGGGAGAGGTGGGCGATGAGAAGTTTGGGGATGATGGCAGAAGAGGACTGCATTTGACCATGAATGAGGTCAAGTTCGGGACGAGGAGGCCGAGGCGTGAGGAGAAGGGACGACGGGTAAGAGGAGAATAGGCGTGACCATGAGGAAGGGTGACGTTTTGGAGCAGGAGGAGGGTAGAAGGAGATCTGGAAGGAGAGCTGGAAGAGGAGGTCGAGGAAGAACAGGGCGCGAGCCTTCACACGAAGAGTCGGGGTGGGTCAGCCTAAAATTCTTGCAAGTCACCCTCCTGGGAGCAGGGGCGGTGGCATTGAGCAAGGAGGGGGCGGAAAGGGAGGGGACAGAGGATGAGAGGGAATATGTGGGAGTAGAGAGAGATGAGGCCTCGCCCAAGAAGTCTTCGTGAAGGAAGTGCATCGGGAGATGCAGCATTCCATCCTTTTGGAGGAGAGGTAGGAGGAGGAGGATGAGGAGGC